CTCTCTCTCTCTCTCTCTCTCTCTCTCTCTCTCTCTCTCTCTCTCTCTCTCTCTCTCTCTCTCTCTCTCCAGCAGTCAATAAGCACATGCATTAAGCAAAGTGCCCCCAAAGATCAATTCAAATGGCTGAAGAGCATGTGATCTATACATATATCATCCAACTTGGATGAAGTCATGGATAATGCATCATGCATGAATAGATTATCTATGCCTGAAAAATTATTAAAAACAAAAGCATGATTTCTACGGACTATGCTTGTAGAAAGTCCCTTAGATTAAGCATTAACAACATCGACACCAAGCACCTGCAAATATCCATGTGACTCTCGCAACACATTCAACTATTAGAAGCCAAATTCTCTATTGATTGTGGTCTCGAAAAAAAGATGTTAACAATGTTCAAAAAATCGGCCACCAGCCGCCTAGGCAGCCCCAAGGCCAAAATGCCTAGGCGGGCTTCCTGGGCATAGTGCATCTAGGCACCCACCTAGGCGCTCGCCATAAGGTGGGTACCTAGATGTAGGCAGGCCCAGGGCAGAAAATAGGCCCTCAGCCAAGGGTATTTTGGGGATTTCCCCCCCAAAAAAAGGGGAAAAAGGATTTTGGGGAGCATTCTAGTCCCTCAAACACCCTTTTGTGTATTTCAGATTGTATCTCTAAATAATTGGATTTTGAGATTTTTCTCAAGATAGAAGAAAATTTTCAACATTTTCAATTTCTAGCGAAATCAAAAGAAATACTTCTTGATACTTTTTGGAGCTTGGAGTGGTAGTATATGAGGACATATGGGACTTTTGGGCCAAAGATCACTGGTTTGGGCCAATATCGGTTTCATTTTGAAAAGGTTAGTGCATTACAATCTTTGAATCAAGGTTTGGTTATTTTTGTTGCATAAAGTGCTATTATTTGATACTCTTTTACTTTCTTTTTTCTTTAGTGGTATTGTTATATGTTTGTAGTTGAAAACTTGAAATATTTTGTCAAAATTTCCCCGTTTCAGCCTATATCAAATTTATTTAGAAATGCTTAGTGCAATACAATATTTGTGTTAGGGTTTTTTTTTTTTGGTATAAGGTGTAATGATTTGATATTCTTCTATTTTTTGTTTTCCTTTTTTGATATTTTTACATGTTTGTCTTTGTCAATTTATTTTTCACTCTCAGGGATTTTGGGTCCCTAAAACTACCCTAAGAACTCCCTAGGGGGCCTACACCCCTGCCCGACTAACTCCTTGGGGGCCTAGCCTGTCCTTGTTCCTGGGCACCCACCTAGGCAGCCAGGCCCCAAACCGCCTAGACAGGACATCCAACTTTTTGAACATTCGATGTTGATACCTAGGAGGTGTTTTAACTGATCCCTTCTCAACACTTGTCTGCATTATACTCCAACTCATGCGCATGCAGTAGTGAATTATTTATATCTTGTTTTACAGTAGCACCAACGACACAACTTGAGGGCATCATAGAACTAACTCCATCAAAAAGACCAGAAAGCCAAGGACAAGAATGAAGATCCAAAAGCCAGGGTTTATAATGGGCCTCCCCTCTGTCTAATGAGCCAATCCTATGGGACTTCTAAAGAACCAAACGACCATGCCATTCATAACCTTAATGAACCTTTGACCAGGTATTTCCTTTCCAACTTTGTCAAGATTGATAAATTACACTAACATATATACAATAACGAACATCTCTGGATTCATTTGCCATGGAAAATATTCATTGGCTAGTTCCTAGCCCTTTTCAACTCATTGATTCTTAACCTTTCAAAGATGCACTGCATCAATGACGCACCCTTCTAGCACCAACTTCACTGTCTCACACATCTTTTCAGTTAAAAAATCGATATCACGACCAGGATTTCATATTTAAATTTTAATCAACCTTCATAGAACTACAAGACACACCCACTGAGATGAGCCTAGCAAAGAAAGATGGGAAAATATCGTACAGACCCCTAATTCCCCATCTTATTTCAAAGTAGACCCTCCTATTTTTCTTTCAAGCGGCATAAAAAACCCTCGAGTATTTCACCGTACCCCCTCATCTCTTCTTCCCACGTTTATTTACTTTTGGCCACAAAAACTAGCCCTAACAAATTATTTTATTCCATCTCAATCCAAAAGCCTTTTTAACCCTATTTTGCACCTTTTAAAAAAGCTTTTGGATTGAGATAGAATAAAACAATTTGTTGGGGCTAGTTTTTGTGGCCAAAATTGAATAAACGTGGGAGAGAAGAGAAGAGGGGGTACGGTGAAATACTTGAGGGTTTTTTTATGCCGCTTGGAAGAAAAATACGAGGGTCTACCGTGAAATATGATGGGGAATTAGGGGTCTTTACGAAATTTTCCCAAGAAAAATCTACTCCCCTCCGCTCATCAACTGTTGGAAAAAGGCCATGTCAACTGTCCAATATAGGCAATGGAACAAAACGTGACCCACCAAGTATTCCTCATTTGCATATAAGCATAGAAAATCAGTATAAATTGACAGGTTTTCCTTGCTAATAGCGCCACAGGAAAGTAGCCAAGTCCGCAAAGACAAACTCAATCTCACACTAGGACATTCCCAACAGGACATAAAGGTGCATATCGCAATTTGCACTCACTCTATTGTCAAACAATCCCATCTAAGAAACCTGAGTAAATGCTTGACCAAAGAAGAATCCTTGAAGCATTCATCTTTTCACAAAGCTCTAAAAGTAGCCTATGTAATTTCCATTGCCTTGAGAATTTAAGAAATACATACACCGATATATTTCTTTCTTGTCAAGTATATATACAAGGATGCACTGCACGTCTATTAACAAAAGGAAAAGTGTTCCATGAGTCAGCAGGTACAAGAGCCCGATGACTCTTCAACGTCCATCTTTAAGATGGACATTGTGTAAACGCACGGGGTCCAATGAAATATGGATGGTTCCAAAAACATCCCCAAAAAAAGCACATTTTAAAGTTCAAAACAAAAAAATTCATATTTATGATCAGTTTGTCCTAGATGATGTATCCCAAAAATTTTGTATCAAAAATCCATCTTTAAGGTGAATTTTGGAACGGAGCTGCATGTGTACATATGAGTCGGCTGACTCATAGAAACCCATCCTTAACAGAAACATAAGTTCCCATAATAATAAAATACCTCCTAAGAGCTAATATACAACAACATACTGAGCTTAGAGCACAATTTTTAACACTTCACATCCTGAACTCCTGAATAGCTGCATGCAGGATTTTCTACAAAAAATTTGAGATGTATCAATGTATCAAATTACCATCCATGATAGACTCAATTCTCAATTATCTCCTCCAAAAATCCCTAAAAAGCAACCCAATGTCTGAACCCCAACTTAACCATTCAAAAATAGAAATAGAAACAGAAACCCCTTAGAACTATTAATATCGTCCCGTTAAATGCCTGTCAAACCTATCCCATGCCATCTTCAAAAATAACCTAATCAGTCTAGTTACCTTGAATTAAAACTTTGAATTATATAGAAATAAGAGAAATAACAAATTAACTTTTTTTCTTCTTTTTCTTTTTTTTTTTTATATAGAAGTGAGCCACACCAAATTTGATCCCACTAATCCCATAAAAGTGCAACCTCAACTCGAAAACCATGTGATAGACAGTTTTGCAACTTGTAAGGCGTCAATTTGCCACATAAATAAGCTTTGAGAAAAAGCATCGCAAGCGAGCGGCGAAACCATCAGTTAAGACATAAAATAGAAAATAAGCTAGACATCAAAACCATGAATAGAACCAAAATAGATGAGTCTTCTGTCATCCACTGCCCAAAAAGCAGAAGAAAGAAAACCAAATGAGACAGAAGAGAGATTGCTTTCTAAAGAAAGCTTTGAAGTTCATTGAGACATCAATCAAAAGCTAGACCATCATTCAATGAACAACAAAAGCCCCACTCAAACAACACTCATTGAGATCCATGATCAAATATGCAAAATGCAAGAGAAACAACGAGAGATAATGATCCTCTGGACGAACCACAACGAAAAACCAGTATAGAAGCTCTTCAGCATAAACCCATACAAAATTTTCATACCAAAAGAGATAGAGAGAGATAAAGAAAACAAGGTAGGAGTTATTTAAGAGAGAGAGATGGGTAGTTAATAAATTACCAGAAAAGGAAAAAAAGCAATTAACATACAAACCAATAAGTGTTTACAATACGCATGTGTCGTGTGACTGCGTAAGTGAGAGAGAGAGAGAGAGAGAGAGAGAGAGAGTGTAGTATATACGACGAGGTAGGTAGGTAAGGAAGTAGAAGTAGGAGAGTAGGAGACGAAGGACGGACCGTATACAACTAACCGACGTACGACGAGGAAGAGAGAACTACAAACACGAC